AATATAATTCGCGGCACTTTTAACACAAAAAAATGTCAAATAATTAATTATAATCTAAACATAAAATTGTTTATCAATGACAATGTATACCGATCTTAATGTCAGGGTTGAGCTCTCGGACGGTTTGCATCCACTTGAAGTCGATGTCATGCGTGCCCTCAATGGTAATGGTCTCCTCGTCGTCATTGAGCTTTGCCTGAAGCCATACCGGAGCTAAATGTGTGAACTTCATGGCAAACAGTTTGGCGATATCATAGCCCCGAGAGTTCCACTGAAACCATGTTTTAAACACATTTTGCATGAGACAAGTGAACAACGGACTACCGGTGCAGACCTACAGGTGTGACATATCCGAGTACTGTTCCGTTGAAGTTGCGGACAGAAGTGGTCTCTAAGTTGTAGGCATTGTGTTCGAGGAGTACTTCTTTCACTTTGGGATTCGTGACGATTAGGTTCCGGTCGGCCAGAGACTCATTGACCGGTGCTTTCGGCTCCACCTGACTCTACACACCATTCAATTCATACTTATTTTATAAAATGAATATATCATTCGTTTCTCACATTAACTGTACCTTTGTTTTAGAGGTACGACTACTTTGTGACAAAGTGGCCAAACATTGGTGGTGTTGTGCGATAACAATAATTGTCATGCAATTCAATAAAAGGCACTTTAAGTTCATATTTGCTGCAAAGAGATCACAAATTCGCGTTTAAATTCTCTGATTCAATACAAACTATATTTTTATTCATAATATTTGTTGTTATGACAGAAATATGTAGAAAATATACAATTAATTATTGATTTTGTGAGAAAAATCGCTATAATTTGTTTGCAAAACTGAGAGAATATTCTCGCAGTTATTCCTTATAATAGTTATACAGTATTAGACTATTCTTGTTAATTGCACACAAGAATCGATTAAAAATGTTTTTAAAATTAATTTCTAAATTATTTTAACGCTAATTATAATTTTATTACTAATTAAATGATATGACATTTGGTTTGTGTTATTTTATCACCAAAGGAATAATGTGTAGAATATATAGGCGTTTAATTCAAAGACATGTCATTTGTTTTGAAATGTAAAATACTTTAATGTCTCTTATGTTAGAGTAATACTAATATCTCATAAACGATCGATATCTGCAATACTTAAGAGTGAATATAATAGTGTTTTATTGATTCTTGCATTCATTTAAATATTT